AGCACCTCAAATGTTGTGCCTCTAATAGATCACAAACACCAAAACAATTGGAGAAGACAAGAGATAGATAGAGAGAGAGAGAGAGAGAGACAGAGAGAGAGAGGATAAGTAAATTTCGGCCATTGAACTCTTCTTAGGGTTTTGGTAGACGAAAATTGCATGCTAGGGGTTCCTTTTATAGGTGAGGAATTATGGTTTTAGTCCAAAATCTCTTCCTGTTGCTTAGGCTCAAAGCAGACCATGAGAATCTTCCAGAAACCCTCCTTTGGTCGAACTCTTATGGTCTGTCCATAAGGATTTCGTCCACTCCCTATCTTTAGGGTTTCCTTATCCCCCAATGCAATTATCTTATAATTGAAATTTCAGTCCCCTTAGTTTAATTAATATATTTTGTTCACAAAATTAATTCTTGACCAATATTAATCAAACAAATATGATTTCTCCTTTAATATATTATTCATATAATATATTAATAAACCATAATAACCTCTTTCTCTATTATTCATCCAGTCAAGTTGCTTTAGTGAAGGCAACCCAAAAGGACCATGCTACAACCGAGTCAAGTATATACCAAATATAGTTATGGACTTAGACACTAATCCAACAGTATTTTGAAGTTGGGTCCTTATGTGGCATGCAAAGTCACCAAGTCAATGACTTTATGGTTCTAGACGCTTATTAGGACTTAAATATGTGATTTGGGCTTCTGGTCTTAAGCATTAAGTGCTTAATGCTAATTTTGGATTATTGGGTGAGTACGATGGGCGTACAAGTCTGTACACATGGAGTACACACCATTTAGCATGTATGCTTAGCGTACAACTGAGTATACCCCGCATACAAGTCTGTTGGGTTTAGCGTTTTGGGCTTCAAGTTTTGAGCATTTTGTTGGGCTTAGATGCTTAGATTCTTGTTGGGCCATCTGAGTACAAGTATTTTGGACTAGGAAAAATTGTTGGGCTTTAGGGTAAGGCCCATATAAGGGTTTGGGTCCAATTTGGAAAATTGGGCCATAAGTGGGTCTTGGATGATTAATTGGTTTGGGTATTTTTGATTGTGAGTTTGGGCCTTAGTCTTGGACGAAACTAAGTGAGGGGTAAAATGGTCTTTTTACCCCAATTATGGATGGTTGGATATGGATTGGAACCTAAATGTTAATTTGGGTGTTATTTTGTAATGATAGCTTGTTGATTCATCCGACCAGCTACCAGGGATTTTCAGTGAGATTCAACAGTTGAAGTGAGTTTTCTCACTAGGTTTAGCGAGTCTAAGGCACCAATGTCGACCCTTCTTATTTATGTTAGGATTCTAGGAGTTCGCTTAGCCCTTGAATGTGATATATTCTGGTACGTATACCCGACGAGGCTCGATGCCTGGTGAGGCCCGATGACTGTATCAAATTCTATTTTTTATGATCATTGCATGTGTTAGTATGATTATGTGATATATGTTTATGTGTATAGTAGGCGGGGCTCGATTCAGGCTGAGCCTAACAGTAAAAGATCTGTATACCAAGCGGGGTCCGAAGTCGAGTGAGACTTGATACCGAGCGGCGCCCGATGTAGGGCGAGAGCCTAGTATGTGGTTTATTATTTATAGTATTGGGTCGTTTGGGGAACTCACTAAGCTTTGTGCTTATGGTTTTTCAGTTTATGTTTCAGGTATTTCTGGTTCCAAGGGGAAGAGCTCGAGATGACTAAATTGCACACACCACATAGTTCTACTTTTTTGATTACTCTGATTTGAGATGATGTTTGATACACTTATTTGTTTTGGATTGTATTGATGATGTCTTTGGAATACTGTTTTTATAAAATTAAAAATGAAATTTTTGGGTCATCTTTGGGACGTTACATCTTGCTTGGCGGAGGTGCCATTTCCTAGGCTTCCAAGAAGCAAACTTGAATTACAAACTTAACAATGGAATATGAGTTTGTTGTGTTACATTCTGCTGGTAAGGTAGCTGAATGGTTAATGAACATAGTCTGTCAGATTCCTTTATGGTCTAAACCGATATCACCTATTTCTATCCATTGTGATAACATTGTCGCCTTGGGCAAGGACTATACTCAAGTGTGTAATGTCAAGTATCCACACTTAGGTGTCTGACATAGTATAATTAGAGAAATAATCATGAATGGTGTAATTTCGATCTAGTTTGTGAAATCGCAACATAACTTGGCACACCATTTGACTAAGGGTTTGTCAAGAGACATAGTGTATAAGTCTGTGATTGAGATGGGAATTAAGTCCATCTAAATTCTGTAATAGTGAGACACCTAATTCCTTTCTAATATAACATTAGTAGATGAATTCAATGTGGAAAGATCATACTTATAGATTGGAACACATTAAGTATACATCCCATGTAATGTGTTCGGTTTCTACAAATGACCAGGTTAAAGTTTAACATCTTAATAATTCATTTGATTAAATGTATGTGCATATACATGGCAAGGACTTACCTAGGTGATTGTGAAATATAGCCACATTTCAAGAGGTTGTGGACTTGGCCTTGATATGATCATGAGAGGATTAGGACGCGTGGCTTAATAATAGTATCAAGTTGTATTTTGCTAGAAATTTCAATAACCTAGTATGTATTTTACTTTTTCATATTCAAATGGGTTGATGGGTTCAATTCTTAGAACGCCCTTATTCCCAAGTATCTATAAGGATATGATACTAAGTGAAAATTCAATTGTTATGATATTTTTCAATTATGTACTGGGTTAGTTTTGTTTTAATAATGTTATGTTTGTTCAAGGGTTACACTAAAATACGAGAGGATTGTTGGTGATTTTAGTGTCACTAGAACATTTTATGTAATTGGAACTTACATGTGAGCTAAGGGGGATTCGTAATTTATACTCTAATATATGTTTGGGTATGTATGGAGTGCACGCAAACATAAGATCGAATTAGAAGCCGGTTGGACGACAAGTCCGGGGTCCGGGGGCAGTGCCCTGGGTCCGGTGTTTCCAAAGGGGCAACACCCCTTTGGCGGGTTCGAGGGGCAGCGCCCCAAAAGCTCTTTAGATTTCACAAGTGGGTACATAGTGAAACAAATCGAATTCTTGAGGGTGGTTATGGTAAAACTAACTAAGATCGTCAGTTTTGGAAACCATTGATTTTCTCGTTAATTCCGGATTTACTCGACTTGTTTCCAAAGCTACCTATGACGGCCAACTCTAAAACGAAACTCTACTTATCGTTTTCTATATAAACGACTATCCTCTTGAGGAGAAACAAACACCTTTTAGCTCTCGTTTTCTTCATACAAACTTAGGATCTTCTAGCAATTTAGCTTTCATTTTCAAGGCCTAGATTCGTAAATGTCCCCTTGAAATTATCTTAGGCTGAGTTTCTTGTAACCCGGACATAAGGTAGAAATATTAGTTCGGAAAGTGTTTACACGATCCATGGGATATCCAAATCTCCACTATAAACGCTACCAAATTTCTAACAGATTTTACAAAATTCACAGAGCCTTAGAGTATATACTTCTTAAAAACTGAAGACTTTTTATTGTTGTACTTTTTTTTTGTCGATTATGTTCTTTCCATATTGCTGGTAACGTGATTTGTTTTTCAGTTGGTTGAGACATTTCTTTTCTGTTGTAACCATCTTTTGTCCGCTAGATGTGTGAATAATATCAACACTAATGATGCAATCAACCGTCAACTTTCTATAAAGAACTGGCTTCAAAAGTCGAAAAAAAAAAAACACAAAAGTCTTTCACCCCATGCGAAACATGGACATATTTCTAGTTCTTAATAAAATGAATCTTTAATAAAATTCAAATATATCTTCAATTTTTATGCATGATTTTTAAAATTTTCTGTTTTACAATACATAGTTTTTATCTTTGTGTTTCTAAAATTTTCCCGTTTTTACATATAAGTTTTTCTATAACTTTCGTTTTCATATTTTTTAAAGTACATTATTTTGTATAATAATGACTGATTCTATTTAATTATATATTGAATACTATAAATAAAGAAATATTCAATGGCATTTATACAAAATAATAATACATTATTTTGTATAATTATGCGTGATTCTATTTAATTTATGTATTGAATACTACAAATACATAACATTTCCATGACAACACAAAGAGTGTGCTACTCAATGTTTTAAAAATCGGGTTTTTGTTTGAATCAGTATGATAACCAGTGTCCCGTTCTACTATCGGCTTAACCGAGTTCTAGAATTTTCATGTTTTTCTTATTTTCTTGTACATACGAACATACAAGTTCAAATATTAAAAAATACACATAAAAACAAATTACACATCACTATAACTACATTATAAAAACACATAACCATAAATATTACACCAATTTAAATACATCAAAAATAAAATAAAATATAATATTGAAACAAACTATAATGAATACACGCTTAAAAAGCTTCATATTATCATTTATTGTTATTCAATTTACGAGGTGTTTAATAGATGTCAAAATATCACCAAATTTTTTTTTTTTAATGTTTTATTTAATTTAACACGTTCAACACTTCAACTACCACTAATTCGTTCGATCTAAAAATAAACATATAACGTGGCCTTGGCCAGTTAAACTGCACACTTATACGGTTTCTGGTCCAACCTATCTTTAAAACATTGTTGCTACTCTAGTTTAAAACATAAATGTAAGTTCAATTATTTTTTTATTATACAAAATATAAATGTAAGTTCAATTATTATTTTATTATACAAAAGTTAAGTATTGAATACACCTTATGCCACGTCTACACAATAATATGACATGTTTCGATTAAGTAAAGTCGATAGGAGACAAAATCATGCCAAGTGACAAGTGACAACCCACGAACTCTTATAAAAAATTCACACTTTACTTTTTACTGAAAATATAATAAATTTCACAATCACACCCTCAAAGATATAATAATATCCCAATCATACCCTCAAAAGCTCATTATAATTGCAAACTCATAACCAACATACGTACTAGGGGAACTACTAAACTCCCTTAAGAGGGATAATCGAACGGTAGAGGAACCACCGAGCTAGAATCCCCTAGACTCGGGTGCACGAAACCATAGGTACGCAACACTTGATTATCAGCAAAATTCAACACCTTCTTCATAGCGTCCCAACATTTCTGCACAGAGTACGACTCGTTATGCGTACCACTACACGGTTGACACCCGGTGAAGTGCGTCATAAACGGCCGTCTCCACCCTTCAATCCCATACCCTACACCACCCAAATACGATTCCCACAGCGCATAATAGCCTTCCCTCATCTTTTCAGCATGTCGTCTTCTTAAACTACGCACCTTTTTTTCAATAGTGTTATATTTTTCATTTATTTTCTCTAATTTTCCCACAATTTCCTCCCAATACCCCTCGAAGTAATACTCATCTTCCACGTATATTTTATTCCCCCATTTTTCTTTTTCTTTTAATAATAAATAAACCAAACCCGTTTGATCGTCGGATTCGGGGAAAAACTTGTCTTTACAAGTTTCCTTCAAGATTTTGCCCCATTTTTCGTAATTCGGAGTCTGCGGACCCATACCCGACCACACATCCATGAAGTCAAGAGCCCATTGACTGTTTCGGATCAGGAAAACGCCGGCGTTTAACCCCGTCCAGCTTTTCTTCTTGTAGATCATCTCCGGCCAGCCATGGACGACGAAGTTGTGGTTTTTGTAACGTTTCAACGGTAACTTAAAGTCCATGTCGGTGAAAACGGCGTCGGAATCCACCCACCAGATCCATTCAGCTTCCGGGTGGGCCAACATCGCGGCCCGAACCGTTGGGATTTTGGCCCAGTATGTGAACATTTCTGGATGGAATAAGACGTTGTTGTAGAAGATATCGTAGCCATGGATCCGACAGTAGTCTACTTTGTTCTTGAAGAAACGTAAGAGTAAATGATCTCCGATCGGGTTTTGACATGCTTTGGATTGTGACCCGGTTACCAACATGACCCGTTCTTCTAAACCCGAGATGAATTTTGGGTGAAGCGATAGCCATTCTTGTCGCTTTTCGTCCCAGTTTTTGATGGGTTTGTTAATGGTGTATGTAAGTTCCGGGTCGTCGTAGAATGTGGGCTCCGGCGGGTCGTGGGTCAGGTTGAAGTTAAGAACACCGGTAACAATGGTGTGGTTTATGTCGGGAAATATTTTGTAACTGTGACCTTTGGCTTTGAAATTGATGGTGTGGCGGGGAGAAGGGAAAGTGAAGCTGATTATCGGCCAGAAAGCCCATAGAAGGAGCAGAGCTACTGCAGTTCCGGCGACGATGGGGATTCCGTTGGAGAAAAACGATGATCGTCTCCGATTATGCATGGTGGCGATTTGAATTGAAAGAACTCAATTGGCACCTTTTAATCGAGGGGGTTCCGATCATTTTCTCTCTCTGAGATGACGTTTGGTGAGATGGAATTTGGAAATGCCAATGGGAATATTACATCAGCTTTGAAGAAAAATTGGAAGAAAAGGTGGGAAATTGGGGATAATTCCAAAAGCTGTTTCATGGGTTTTCTAAATTTGGGATTGATTACGCAGAGGATTGACTGGATACAGCGAGGAAATGAGGATGATTTTAATGGCGTCGGTGCGGCGAGTGTTTTCTGGTTGTGGATGTAGAAAGCTTGTAGCAGGTTCTTCTTCGTCATGGTCGTACGAAGTACGGATTGTATGTGTTTGATTGTGTGGTTGACACGTTGGCACCTCTTGTCTAGTTTGTCCACGTGTGACAAGAGAATAATATTAGACAAATCAATATCATAATTAATGATGTGAAAATTTTAAATAATATTTTAAATTTTTTATAGAAACAATTACTTTTTTAATTATATGTTAAATTTTTAATTATATGTTAAATTTGAATTTATAACTAATTTTAAAATTTTGGTAAATCTCCTCATCTCATCCAAGATTTAATTCATCACCAAAAACAAACTTCTCTCTCAACCACAATACTTTTTCCCAAGAAATATTCTAGAGTTTTCCTTCATTTTTGGTAACTATCTCCTTTCTAGGTCTACACAATCTTCACATCTTCATACAAATCATACATCATTTACAAAAATACAAGTTACAACTCCAAAACATAATCTAAACTTCAACATCAACTTTCAACAGAAAACTTGTGTCCTGTTTACGGACTGTTTTGACCATCTTAAGCTTACTATTTTTCAAAACTGTACAAGATGCAACTAGCTCAGGTTTATACCTTTCTAACAACTACTTGCACACGTTCATACAATTTTGCTAGAATTTATGGCGATTTTTACAAAACAGCCTATCATTTCATAAATGATTTCAGATCAGTCTGTGAAGATGAACATTTTGGCATTGGTTTGAGACTACTAAAAATCATAATAAAAATTATGAAAAAAATTGACTCGTTTTATAAACTCTCAGAGTTTACGGATTCAGTTTTCAACTTACGATGATTTTTCTATAATTTTTCTATTAACACTAACTGAAAAGTAAAACTAGAAAAATTATCCATAGATTTACTCACATTTTGTAACGTGTTAAGCAAAGTGTGTAACAATATAAAGATGCATGTTGATTATATTCCATGCTATTTTACTTCCATGAAAAGGGAATAATTACACACATATGGATTTTCATCACCAAAAGACATTTGTCATAAACTATAATAGGTATAGTTTATAGTTCACTTACGTTACAAACTTACTATGGAAGGTTTCTTTTCCACTACAAAAGGGTTTTTCATTCACACTACACGTAAACTCGTTAAATCAAATTTGTGAGCTAAGTCTTCACGTAGACATTAGTGTACGTACGAAGTCCTATATTATAACCAAAGTTTCTTTTAGGCAAAACATGATACTTGTGTATAGATTTATATTGGGATTGACAATCCCGCACCTAAGCTGCATGCAACAGCTAGACCAGTAGGTCTGATGTGACCGATGTCATAACATTACCAACGCCTGAAGAACATCGTAACTAGCCATCTATGTCATTAACATGGTTATAATAACTCACATAGGTAAACAATGATACATATAGTTTACGTGGAATTACTACACTCAAACGGTTTTATTCACTTTAAAGCTACATATACTATCATAAGTACGGAAAAAATACTTGTACATTTGGTCTTTGGTATTTAAGACTACAACTCATTTAACAAGGAGAATATTGGATTTTTCTGGAAAAAAACACTACTTTTACAAAGAAAGGATTTCAACTATACATATAAAAGTTTATGAACTTACCAACTTAATTGTTGACACTATTTCAAAGTTACTTGTATTATCAAGTAATCATTAGAACATGTAACTACCGAAATTTTGAGGATGGGACGCTAAGGCATCAAACAATTCATTTTATCATTATATTGTAATTGATTTTGAAACATGTAACTCATGAAACCATGTAACTTTTTCGATTATATTTATGATGGTTGTGTTTACTTTGGTCACTATTATACTCGTTATGATACTATACATGGAGTCATCCCACCCCCGTACGTTTCCGCCATCCTAGGTTTTGGGGTGTGACAAACACAAACACGAAGACCTAACCTGGATCTTACACTAGTAATGGACATAACGACTATTGAAGCGATGGTCGCTCAACATGTCACTGATGCTCTCGCTAACTATGAAGCCAACAAGAACAATGGAGCCGTAAGTGGTGCAGAAAATGGAAACATAAATGGAGGTGTAAGTAGCTCAAATGTCAACAATGAAGGAGGCCCTAGAGTCTATATTTACAAAGACTTCATGAACTGCAAGTCGAAGTTATTTTACGGAAACAAAGAGATAGTCAGACTGACTCATTGGATTGAGAAAATAGAGTTAGTGTTCTAGATAAGATTTTGTACTGATGACACAACCCTGACCTGATGGAATGACCATGATAACATCATGGGTATCAATTTCGCCAATGCTATTGAAACGTCCCATTACACAACCAAAAATTTTATTTTTATTAAGGTAAAATTTCACAATTATAAATCCATTTTAAGAAAACCATTTATTCCAAATTACATTTGTCAAAAATCAGAGTAATATAATAATGCGAAATCTTCAATTCTACCAATGAGTGTGTACACTCATGCCTTCACCTTCACACAATCACCAATAGAATCTGAAAACATAAACAACTGGTAAGCAAAAAGCTTAGCAAGTTTCCCAAAAACCAGAGGTGAGATAGCCACACGAACAGATGATCCTACTATAGAGCCACAACTAAGCAAGGAAGATGTAACAACCCAAAAATAAGACCTAAAAATTTTGTTTTTAATTTAACAAAACTGATATCTCAAATACATCTGTAACGACCCAAATTTCAAGGACAAAAATTTCATTTTTGAATTAACGTAGTTAATAAACATTTTACCAAAACCTTGTCAATAAAACATTCCATTACAAAATCATAATGTTGTATTTCAAACCATAACATCATAAGTATTGAAAATCTGAGTACAATCCCAAAAACTTCTTGCGGAAACATGTATGTGTGTGTGATGCGCTGCTACACCGTTGGCTCCTTCCCCTTTGACGAAGAGGTACCTGAAACCAAAACCAAAATTGTAAGCACAAAGCTTAGTGAGTTCCCCCATCATACCACATACCATACAATATCTTCGGTATCTTTCAACCGGTAACCTTCATCGGTATCTTTCAACCGGTAACTATCATCGGTATCTTTCAATCGACAATCAACATTGGTATCTTTCAACCGGTGACTGGGGACTATTTCACCTCCCTACCACTAGCACACAATCAACAGATATAAGCATACAGTCAGGCATATCCGGGTACTGACCTACCCTTGGGTGCTAAGGACCACTGTCAGGGAAACTAATCCCTACCATACACATAACATAAACCCAAATAAACCTTATAACCAACACATAACCAAACCAAGATAATTATCACAAAGACCATCATCTTCTAAATACCCCTTTTTGGTGGGCCGACATTGTAGCCTTAGACCCACCCCTACTGGAAGGTAACTCACCTCAATGTCATGAAGTGTCTGAACTAGCCTCGGTGTACAAGTCGAGTCCCTACGACTCCTCGATCCCTACACGACAACCTTCAAGTCAACACACATCACATACAACCCTAAACAGGGTCAGTCCAAGTTTAGTCAAAGTTAACATTCAGTTGACCTGACTCGCCGAGTTAGCCTACCAACTCGTCGAGTCCATGCTTCTCTAATCCCACACAAAACCCCGGCTCCACTCGTCGAGTCTAGCAAAACTCGACGGGTTCTCCTTCAATCATAACATCGGGACCATCTTCATCCGAATCGTTGAGTTCCTTCTTGAACTCGTCGAGTTCATCTCCAACTTAAGAACTTGTCCAGTCTATGACTCGCCGAGTTGTATGAACAACTCGTTGAGTCCATCTTCAAAGATTGGGAGATTGCTATGGACTTGCTGAGTCTGCTCATACCACTCGCCGAGTCCCATGGCTTCTAGGTCCCTTTTCACGTCTAAACCCACAAGGGCCATCCTTCTTAACACTTACCCATTCACAGAAAGGGTTTGGTGCACAATGGTCACCGACTCGTCGAGTGCCAAGAACAACTCGCCGAGTCCAACCTTGACCAATTCCATACAGTCGATTCAAATGAGGTCTAACATACCAAAACCATAGATCTGGCCTCCTAATGTTCATTTTATACATAAAGTTCCAAACTTGATGCACATGCATGGGGTTTTTAGCTCAAAATTCCATATAAAGTGTCCTATAATGTTCATGGGGCTCTGATGGCCCTAAAGTTAGCACCTTTATGCCATGAGACCCCTCTTAAGGCCCAGATCTGAAGTCAAAACTCACTCAACACTTCAATATCCGAAATATGACTTAGAAATCCATAGATATCCCAAGTTAAAGATGAATAACCACATAGATGAGTCAAGACAGGGGCATTTTACCTTGAAGCTGCTGAAAATGAAGTAAGATCTCCGGATCTACAAGCCCCAACTCGATTTCCAAGCTCCTTTCTTCCTTCTAAGCTTTACAATCCACACAAGAACACCAAAAATGGCCTTAACTCACACACAAACGGTTAGGGTTCGATATGAAGCTTTCAAGAGAGTGTTAGGGACAAGGGAGGCTGATTTAAGTTGTTTATATAGGGTGCAAACCCTCATATTTATGGTTTCACTTATCCAGCACCTACTCGCCGAGTCAGTCTCTCGACTCGTCAAGTTGGTCACTTAAAATGTCCGCAGCCACGTCCCTACTTGTGGAGTTGATCCTCCAACTCGTCGAGTCCCAGAGAAAAATACATATATTGCCAGTCATTTTGTGGGTAAGGCTTTATGCCTTCCATGAAGCTACGTA